ACACAGAAGAACAGTTGAGAAAGAAGCAGTGAGGGGCCGGGGATACAGCTCAGTGGCACAAGTGCTTGCCTGGCAAGTGCAAGGTCATGAGTTTGATTCCCGGTACCAAAAAAAAAAAAAAAAAAAAAAAGAAAGAAGCAATGAGATATGCAAAGATGCTGAGGTTGGAACGTGCTTGGATTTGAGGTTCTTTAGGAACAAGAAGGCGGGAAATGCACTTTTGTGAGAGACGGGAGAGCAACGGAAGGCACGGTCAGCTGGCAGAAGGGTGACAGATTGCGTGGGATTTCACAGGGTCTGATAATTGGGACTGGACTCTGGGAGAGATGGAAATGCAGCACAAGTCCGACACAGAGGCTAACAGACTCTGACTCGTGCACCATTGTTCTGCTGTGCTGAGCACTAACTGTGGGAATGGGAGGATGAAAGTAAGGAGGCAAGATAGGGCTGCTGCAATAATCTTGGGGAGAAGTGGTGGTCACTGGGGGGGGGCAGCAGAGGTTGTGATGGGAATTTGCAGCATTCTGAGTCTGTTTCTCCAGTGGAGCTCATGATTTGGATGCTATGTGAGGGAAAGAAAGCAACTGAGAATGACTTCTGCTGGGCACGGTAGCTCACACCTATAATCTCAGCACTTGGAAGGCTGAGGCAGGAGGATCACTGCAAGTTCAAGGCCAGCCTGAACCACACAGTGAGACACTGTCTCAAAAAAACAAAAACAACAACACAAAAAAAACCTTCAAGAATTTGGGCTGAGAAGTTGATGAGAAGAGGGAGACACATTTGCTAAACTAGAAAAAAGACTGAAAAGTTTTAGGTCTGCCCAAATAGAGGCGCTTATCAGACATCAAGTAGAGATGCTATCAGGTAAGTGGACATAGGAGCTGAGTTACGGACAGACTGGGGCACAAGATATACATTTAGAAATCTCAGTACCCAGGTGACATTTACAGCTGGGAAGTAGAACAGATTTCTGTTTTAGAAGAGAATTGTCCTCAAGATATTTTTGTGTTTGGAGGTCAAAAAAAATGAACAAGAATCCAGCAGTGGGGCTTCGAAACAATCAGAATGTGGAGAAAGAGGGAATCTAAGAGAAGGGGAGGTCTCAGAAGCCAAGTGCAGATGTTTCTTCCAAAAGGAAAGATCAAACGTCTCAAGCTATGGGGTGATATCAGTAAGATGAGGATCTGGAAGTAAGTGTTTGGTTTTGCACTACGCAGGTGATTGTGTTTTGATGAAATTGGAGAAACAGACACCGGAATTGAAGTTCTTCGTTGTGATCCAAATGCCTCTCCAGTCCATCCACTAACAAGGAACCTTCTCTGCATTTTTAAATGCTGAAGATAATTAAAATTTTATACTATGTAATTTGGGGTTGGCTGGCCAGATAAACAATGGAAATTCCTTGTGTTTAAGATTTCTGAGTTGGGTGGTCATACAGAGTTGCATTATTACAAAATGTCAAAAATGTGCTAGCTTTAACTTGTTTGAATTCTTTATGTTCAATTATTTCACTTTCATGAGATGACTAACAAGTCCGTAAAATGGATGAATGTAACTGAAGCACATTCCATTTTCTCTGGGAAAGCGTAACTCAGTGCAGGCAGAATGCTCTGAAAAATACTTCTGTTTTAATTCTTTCCCCATTTCCTCCTTGTGCTGACAGGGATCAAACATCAAGTGTTCCAGGTCAGAGATTAGCTACATGGATTCTTCCCTTGAAAATGAGGTCCTTCTACATGTTCATTCTCTTGAGCCCAGTGATTATATTAGTAATTAGTCTGGTTCATCTACATATCCCTTCTCTCAGTCAGATCAGCTTTGAAAAATTGTTGCAGTACATGTGATTCCCAAAATCACACATACTTTATATTTGCTATCTTTTGCAAAAAATAGTTTGAATAAATATAAAGCATCTGAAATATTGAGACATTAATTTTTCTTGAGACAGGGTCTCACTATGTAATTTAGGCTGATCTTGGATTTACTCTGTAGCCCAGTCTGGCCTTGAATTTGTGGCAATCCTCCTGCCTCAGCCTCCAGAGTGCTGGGATTAGAAGTGTGCACCAAAACAAACCTTGAGACATTACTAACAGTGTCAAAAATTCAAATATTCTGCCAATGTTAATTACAGTCTCCTCCCAAAGCAATGTATAAGTGAAACTATTCTATAAGCATCTCATATAATTGTCTTGATTTTTTTTTTTTTTCATTTCCTTTCTACAGAGGGGAAAATTATAGTGGGTATCAACAAAAGTGAGGGAGGCTGAATGGAACGGGGAGATGTAAAAGAAATTTGCCAGAATGAATTCACAATCTGAAACTGTGATCTGAAAACAGAAAGTGACACTCATGTGCACAGCCTATTCTAGGAAGATAATGGGTTAGATTTGCTTATTCCCTTTGAATCGCTGTCCACCCATTTTCTTCTTGTTCAGGATATCTTCTTGCAGTGCTGTACACATATGATTACTATTTCATTACTTTCCGTTTGAAATTCACCAGTCTTCTTTCTGAGGATGTTTGCTCTGCTGAGTCGCAATGCGTACTCTTTCATTTTAATCTGATTTTTAAAGATCCATGCAAAAAATTTCTTGGTTTGATTCCAGATGGAAACCAAACAATAACCAACCAAGCAGCCTTACTAAATTGAAAAGAAAAATGTGCAGAAAGGGAGGACCACATTAGGAGCAGCTGCTGTGCGGCCAACTCCCTGATTCACTACGAGGCATGAAACTGACTCTGAATGTGGGATTTCAAGAAAGCATTTGGTAAGCTCAGAACTGGGAAAAATGAATACCACTGTTTAGAGAAGAAACAGTTTGTTACATTGTTGTTTTTATTAAATTTTCTTTCTCTTTCACATTTTGCTAATGTCAGTAATTAGCAAAGAGATTATGGAGTGTCATTGTTAGTGATAAGACAGACCCAAATTCCAATGCTAGCTTTGACGTTTTCTGGGCTATTTGATCTAGTTACTTATCTTCTATATGTCCCAGGTTCCTTAAGTATTGCTATGGATTATATGTAGATATTCCCCAAAGCCTCATGCGGTTATAGGTGAGGTATTTCAGAGGTGGCAGGATCTAGGGTATGTGGATCTGGATTAAGGGTGTGAGACAGATTAAAGGTGCATAGTGCTGGATTAGTCCACTAATCAGTTTAGCATAATTCCGGGTGTGGACAATGGAGAGACCCATACTAGGTCTGGAGTAGCCTGGATAGAATATAAAGGGAGGTCTGCTGCTCTGCTGCTGCTGCTGCTGCTGCAGCTGCTGCTTGCTGCTATCTGCCTGCTCTGCCATAGACTGTTTCTCCTCTGTCAGGCCACCCTGCTTTGGAGCTGGCTGGCTATGGACTGAAACTTTTATAAACTGTGAGTTGAAAAAACTTTCCTCCATTAACTTGTGGGTGTCAGGTATTTCATCTCAGCAACAGAAAAGGTAACTAAGGAAAGTACAGAAGAGTGACAGTTCTCACACCACGAAGTGGCTGTTATGCAGATTATATCAAGCAGTTTAAGGGAAAATACTTATATATAATATAGGCTCTGAAAATTTTTAATTGGAAATTGAATGGTACACGTCTTAAAGCTAATAAATCTGACAAGTGTGCAATGAGCATATAACAACAGGTAATTTGGGAGAAAATATTTTTTGAATATTTTCTCCCAAATGCCTTATTTTTTGAATATGGGCATTTCTCAGTTCTAAGTAAGAAGGCTTTTTGATTCATACTTGAAAGTGGTGAGAAAACATACATCATTACAAAGGGACTATAATCTTAAATTGCCTCAGTAGGAATCATCAAGGTAAATGTACAGGATTAATAGCAGCACATCAAAACTAAATACTTTCATATGCCATGAGTTATACTTCCAGGCATTTTAGAAAACTAAAAGATTATTTATCCTAGGATGAAAAAATATCATACTGAATTTCATAACTGACTGATTTTGCTTCTCCAAGAATATTATCTCTGTATCAATCAATCTCTCCATCCATCTGCATGTGTGCATCTACACATTTATATATCCTATCAGAATGGTAAATTCAAACAGGAAAGCTGGATGTGGTGGCTCATGCCTATAATCTTAGCATTTGGGAGGCTGAGGCAGGAGGATTGTTTCAAGCTCAAGACCAGCCTGGGCTACAAAGTGAGCTCAAGGCCAGCCTGAACTGATAGTGAGACCCTATCTCAAAAAGACAAAAACTCCCAAGAAACTAAATTCATATAAGAAAATGCCAGAAAAGTTTCAAAATGTATTTAAGTTTAGGACATCTTTTCCTCTAATCACCTTTATAATCAATCTCAATTTTCTTTTAAGTTTGGTAGAATGATATATGTTATATATTATCACGTAAGTCTAAGATTTGAGTTAAAATTGATGTTACCCTTCTCTTTGGACCATGATAAGCCCTTGAGTTGTGACTTCACAGCTGGGTAGCTTTGAAGTTAGAGTGAAGAGACCACATGGAAAGGTAATTTGCATGTGTAATATACGAGGGTGCTCCGTAGGTATGTTCCAGGCTTACTTTAACCCATTTGACTTAATGCTCCAAAGTAAGAGTAATTTAATGGTAATAGCATAGCAAATTCTGAATAGCTTTACTGTATGTTTAAAAAAGTCACATGTTCACATGCTTGTGTGAGTTTAAGCAATTAAAATCTGCATGAGTTTAAGCAATTGTTGAAATGTATGAATGTCTCCTTAATATACTGATTACAAAGCAAAAAAATTGATGTTGATGTAGTGCTAATTTACAGTATCAATACCAGGGTTAGTTAAACAAACTGCATATATTTGGGGGCTTTCAAATAAGGTCACGAAAAAGTATGTGACTAACAGTAATTCTGATTATACACTCTGATATTGTGGCCTAGAAACTATGGTAGTTTTGGTTCTAAGCATTTTATTCAACCTAATATACCAATAATAATATATTCTGTTATAGTTTGGAAATGAAATCTCGAATCATTTAAGAACACAAGCAATCAACTTAACAGTTATCAGACTTTGGTTTATTGTAAAATTTAGCAAAGTATTTATTATAATCCCTGACCCCTTGCTCTGAAAACAAAAGCAAAAACATACTTATTGCTTATTCTTTCCCCCTCCTTTCTTTGTGCTACAGTAAAAGGGAGAAAAATTATCGTAATAAATAAAAATAGAGCCGTAACAGAGAAAAATAAATCAATCTAGATGAGAAGTATTAGGAGCAAAAGAAAGACCATTAAGCGGTTTAAAAATAAGCTTCTTCAAAAGGTTTTCTTATTTAAAAACAAACACCCCAAAAATATAGCAGCAGAGAAGAAGGATAGATACAAGTTAATTGCACAATAGTCCCATGCAAAAACCTGGATCATTAGCCAAAGCAGTAGTACTCAGAATCCAATTTGGGGTGCTTGTGCAGCGCCTGCGAGTCCTCTATTATGGAGCTGTCACTGAACTGATCCAAGTCTGAAGGGGTCTGATGTCCTGGGACATCGTCTGCCAAAGTGTCCAGATAGCTTCCCACGGAGATGCCGTCCAGCCCGTCACTGCCGTCCTGGAGGCTGCTGTAGCTGCCCCGTAAGGAGGTGCTCTGACTCTCCAGTAAGCTGCACAGGCTGCCACTGAGGCTGCTGCCTCGGCTGGTGATAGTGGCTTTCTCTTCAATCATCCACTTGATGGATTCAATGCTCTCGTTGATAACAAGCAGCTGGCGCATGAGCCTGACATCTGTGGCTCTGAGGTTAACCTGTAGACAAGAGCGGAGAGGAGACAAAGATGTGTCAGTTATTCTACATTCTGGAGACACCCCCAATTCTTTTGAGATCCTGTCTGGTGCAGCCCACAGTTTTTGGTTCACTGAAAATATGAGTGCACTTTATCTGACGATCATTTTGTTCATTGCTGACCAACAGCAGGAGTTATAATCATAGAACTCACTTCCTGTCAGATGCGCTAGGCTCCAAAAGGGTCAATAACCCTTCTACTCCATCCTTGAACCTAACAAAGCTCCCTGAAAATATTCTGAATGGCAAAGTCTCTGCTAAGAGATGTGTCCTTCACACTGTCCTTTGGCCACCAGACATCAGGCCTCCCGGGAAAGGCGTTCCTGTGAAGAAACCAGCAGGGCCCTTCATGTCCAAGCCTGCTCCCAAGCCAGCAGCCAAGACCAAGGCCAAGCCAGCTGTCCCCCAGGCCGCTGTGAGAACCCAGGAGCCCCCTGTCCATCTCTCCAAAGTGGCGATCGAGTTTAACAAGGACCAGCTGGAGGAGTTCGAGGAGGCCTTTGAGCTGTTGGACTGAGCAGCTGATGGCAAGATCCTGTGCAGCCAGTGTGGGGTCGTGATAAGGGCCCTGGGCCAGAACCCCACCAACGCCGAGGTGCTCAAGGTCTGGGGAACACCAAGAGTGATGAGCTGAAGTCTCAACGTGTGGACTTTGAGCTGTTCCTGCCCATGCTCCAGGCAGTGGCCAAAAACCGGGATCAAGGCACTTATGAGGACTACTGGGAGCGGCTTCGGGTGTTTGACAAGGAGGGAAACAGCAAAGTCATGGGTTCAGAGCTCAGACACGTCCTCACCACTCTCAGAGAGAAGATGACTGAGGAGGAGGCGGAGACTGTTCTGGCAAGACATGAGGTAGCAACGGCTGCATCAACCATGAGGCCTTCCTGAAGCACATCTTAAGCGTCTGAGCTGACATGTGCACCTGCCAGGCCCCCACCTCACCTTGAGAGCTCCTGTGTGGCCAGTCACTTGCTCCCCTCCCTCGCAGGCAGAAGTGCATTCCTACCACTAGGAGGCCACATATCGTTTCAAAATAAAGACGTGGTTCCTTCAAAAAAAGAAATGTGTCCTTTCTGGCCCAAGTAATAGTTTTTCTATGTTTGCATGGGAACGTGTCTGTGGATCTTGAAAGATGGGAAAAGGATGAATGTGTTAAAATTAAGGAATTACCCTCAGCATCATCAGAAACTTCTATTTATTGAGCAACAATGTTCCAGGCATTGTTATAAAAATGCAGTATTAGCAAAATCTGACACGGATGTAGAGGCATTGTTTTATTCTCAATGTAAAATGAAAAAACTGAAATCCTAAGAAAAGAGTTAAGAGTACAGAAAAGCCCTCTCTCTCTCTCTCTCTCTCTCTCTCTATATATATATATATATATATATATATAATTTATTAAAAAGAGTAAAAGAAGGATAACATAGTAATAGAGGGATTTACCAAATTACAGACAAAGTGGTAGGACATTATCAATGGTTGTTATTTTACCTATTAGTATCTTCAAGACAGTTTCTCAGGAAAACAAATAGACAAATAACAGTGAGTTACAGACAAAAATGGTAGGAAATTATCAGTGGTTGTTGTACTGTATGTGGGTTTCTTCAAAGTGGTTTCTAGGGAAAACAATAGAGCTATACATGAGTGATCAATTAAATAATCATTGACTATTCTCAATGGTTGCTGAAAACACACAGTAATAAACATATATCCATTTACAAAATAGCATAGGAACAATAGAAACATTACAGAGTTATGGACAGATTGGGAGGAAATTATCAATGGCTGCTACAATACATGGTGGTATCTTCAAAGTGGTTTCTCAGGAAAACAAAGATATGCAAGAAAGATCTACCCAGTAGTTACAGCCTAAGGGTTGTGAAAAATAGCAGATTACCTCTTTATCAGTGACTCCTTTCACTGAGGTGTAAACCCTATATTTTTTATGACTCTATCAACACAAATAGCAGTGAATAGTGCTTCTGCTCATATGAATGAATCGCCCTACTATTCTCTGAATCTAAAAGGGTGTTAGGCCACTGGGATGATCCAATTTACAAGGTGAAGTGCACAAATGTTCCTGTGCATCTGATGATATGTTTCAGATACATCAAGAGCATACTGATCAAAATTGGGATATGAGAAAGTTCTAGAACTCTTACAGGCTGTTGAGGTATGAGGTCCTTCTGAACTTTTAAATCACTTTGGAGAAATTTATCTCCAAAACCACAAGGGAAAGTCTCTGCATGCCCCAAAGATCAACGGGAACATTTCCTGCCAACTAGTGTGCAGTGGGCTTAAGGAAGGAGGCTTAAGGTTGCTCAAAATTGCCTGTTTGCGCTGGACTGAAAGATGTGGATCCTATAGATTCCAAGGCCTAGACAGGTAAACTGGGATGTGTTGGCCACTAGAGGTCCTATTCACATTCATTTTGGTTTGAAAATGGATTTTCTTCCTGTTCCTTCACTTAGGCCATTAATCCAAAAGGATGAGCCATGTCAATTCTCTAAGATTCAGGGCTAACTCAGATTTGTGTGTTTGTAGAATTATCAAAGGTGCTCATTCTTGAATGACTCAGGCCATAAGAGAAAAAAGAGCCTATTGTTTTCAGCAGTATGCATTCATATAAAAATATTTCCTGGTGGAGTTAATCCATAACTGAAGTTGAACTTTGGTTTGAGTGACCATGATGAAAAAACATTAAGAGAGATGACATTTCTACTAAGGACTCCAACCAATATAGGACTGTAGGTTTAAAAACAATGAAAGTATAATGACAGGAAGCCTAAACTATAATTTAAAGAATTTTAACTTCTCTCAGATCCTCATCTTCTCTGAAAAAAAAAAAAAACAAAAATAAATTGTGGCAATAGTAACAGTGGAAATTATGTTTCCCTGAAGAGTTTATCACCTGAAGGATGTGCACTTAATTAACCTTGAGATGCTTCTCTAAGATAATGTTTAAATGACCTTGTAATGACTTCTGTTGAGGGTGATGCTTCCTGGCAGTCTTTATGTTCAAATCCACCCAGACCCCCGATGAGCCATCCTGACACCGTTCAAGGTACAGATAATACAAATATTTACAAATCACCAACAGTGTGCCTAGGTCCACTGAGGAGGGCAGAGTATCAGTGTGAGTCAAACTTTTACAAAATTCCTCCGCAGGAATCTGGAGCTGTGAAACTTGCTGTGCCTATGACAACATGGTGCAATATTCATCTGGCCGTTTCCCAGCAGCTCCCCAAATGGACTACAGCTGTGTGTGTTCATATCCCCACCCTGTCCCGTGAAAGTGCTTTGGTCCAGGTCCAGGTCTCGGCACGAACTTTGATTCCACTCACTCAAAATGCTCCGCACTCTTCCTCTCCAGATCCTCTCATCCTTGCATCCCTGCTTCCTCCATCAAGCACTGCTTGCTGATCCCAGTCTCTCGGCAGGTCGCTTACCCACCACAGCCCGCTTGGTTTGTAGCTCACCACAGAGCTCAATTTTGCACTGTCTTATACTTGTCCTGATAAATGTGTAGCTTTTTCTTCAACTAAGCACAAGCCCCTTAAAGAAAGAAGCCATTTTATCCATAGTTTATGGTCTTTGATTCCAAAAGATAGTCATAACTTTAGGATCTGTGAAAGTTAAGCTTGTAAGAATAAGTGATATGCTCTCAGACCTTGCGTCACTCTGGGCTAAAAGCATACTTAGAATAATTTTTCTGTCAGTACTTTTTGTCTTACACAGTGGCTACATCAAATACAAGCTTTTTTCCCATTTTATTAGGCAATAAGAGGGGTTATGAAATAATAACAGTTACTTTTGACCATGAAATGATTTATTTAAATAAGAAAATCTTTTGCTTCTGAGGGCTGAATTTCATGGGCTATTGAACCATTGTTGGGGGAAGATGATGAAAGTCAAGTCAACTAGAAGGTGTTGATCTGGCTGATAATGATTATGGATCTAATTGTGTAAACCCGGTGTCCTCCAGGGAGAGTAAACAGCTTCCCTCTGTGGGGGCGCACGGCACCTCAGCCCACACGGCCAGGTGTTGCTACTACCAAGAGCTGTTACCAGGTGCCCTTGCGGCTGCAGATGGCCTCCTCCACAAACTAAGGTGCAGTGACCCTACTGCTGTCCCTTGAAAGTAAGATCAGCCAAAGAACTAAATCCCATGTTGCCTCTGCCTCCAGTAGCTGCCTGCCTTTCCCGCTGGGGTACTTCATAGTAGACTATCTGATGCTTAGCCATGAATCAAGAACAGAATTCTCCTCCTTTCTGTCTCTCTCAGACAGAAGCTTTCTTTCTCTCAATAAATTCTTTCTACTCTTAAAAAAAAAAGAAAAAAGAACAGAATTGTCTTGTCCTGGTGGCATGAAGCTTTTTGCTGGGGTCTCAGGGAGCCCTGTGACCACGCTGAGGATACTTAGAGTTGAGACCCTCGTGGAGGTTTAAGTTTAACCGGAGAGCCCATTCCCGATCAATCGTGGTTCTGAATCCCCGCACTCAGTTCATTACGCTTCCATGTCTATCGTTTACTTCATAATGTCCATGACAAGTCAAAATCATCCTGCTTATTATTCTTTAACTCATTTTCTGTCCTCCAGTGTGCATGGAGGAATCACGGAAGGTAGAGGATGTGGTCCGTCTGTGTCACTACTCTATGCTAGGTACAAGAAGACAGCTTTTCTGTACCTAGTAGGTACTCAATCGGGATCTGTCCAACGTCTGAATTAGCAGCTTTGAATCAAACTGCTCTCCTGGAAAGGAGCCTGCGGCTTTTCTGTGGGTCAGTGATACCTCACTTGGGAGGAAGAACAGTGGTAGCTCAGGAAGGGACATTTCAGTGGCACAGCATTCCTAGCATGTAGTTCATTTTCTAGTCATTCTCAGCATTTGGACACCGAATAACCAGTCTAATTCTTCCTATCTTAAACTTACAAAGTACAGCCCGTACCTCGGAAAGGAA